ACTAAGCACCACTTTCTGATTAGGAACAAAATCATCAATGAGAAATCATAGTCTAAATGACTTTTTATGTAAACTTAAGCCTAATGTCTGGGAAGTGTAATCCCTTGAACTCTTAAAGAAATATACTGATGCCTTTAATCTTTGGTTATACTTTCCTTTTGGGTGTTTAAGACCATACAGTTGGCCCAAATAAATCGATTTATTTCTACACTTAAGGTCAGTTAAGGATCTATTCCTCAGCATGGGCTTGGGAAGAGCCCCTGGTTCCTTTCTTTTACCAGTTCCATCTGTGTGAAGATAAGTCAAAGGTCCTGCTCGACCATGTCTGGCTTTACTTGGAAGCATGGATAAGTCACTTCCTCTGAGTTGACCCTCCTCTTTGTAGACTGGACACTGGTTCAAGTCCATCTCATCCATGGCCTCCCTGAACAAGAGGACAGGTGACTCACTTCAGTTACAAGACATTTTGAAAGATGTTCCATAGTCCCCTGGAACTTAGTCAACCTTAGAGGGCAAAGGGCAAAAACTGTCCTTTAATCCCTCTGGCCAGATTAGTATAGGCCTCCAAGTATGGCTGTTAAACATCCAATAAGGTTAGTTCCACCAGTCTGGTACTTTTAATTACCATGTGCTATGTAGATAAAGCTTGGGTAAAAAACCAAATATTCTCAGATAAACCTTGACTAGATATATATTTTGTTCCTTAAACTAGTTGACTAAACTATGACCATAGACATTTTAAGATTATGTGTATATTATTTTCATCTCATCCTTTATATATCATAACAAACCTACACAGCCCTTGATTACTTAGGCTTTCTCATTTTTTCTATTTTGGAAACTATCTCTATTCCCATATCCTTTTAACATCTTTTACATTCTCATTTTCTTTTTTTAAAAATAACTATGAGATATAATAGCATTAACAAATAAATTTTCCATCTGTTATGAGACTTCTTTTCCTGAGGATGCTAAGCATTGTTTTGGGTTTTTTTTAATAATTATGAGACATAATAGCATTAACAAATAAAATTTCCATGTGTTGTGAGAATTCTTTTCCTGGGATACTAAACAATGCTTATTCCTTTTAAGGTTCTAGTGTTAAGGCAATGTTTGATTAAAGTTTTGCTGGGGAACCAGTGAATTTACTGAGCTTACTTACTGAGGGTAATGCACACTAGAAAGCCTTTACCCAGCATGGGTCATGCCTTCTCTTCCTAGCCTTCCCCAGATTGTATACTTTACCCTTCCCAAATCCAGGAGACCATGTGTGATTAGGGCCAAATTACATACAGTTGACTGGGAAGAGTGGCTGAATACTCCAGTGAGTGTCCAATGACCCTGCTTGGCCCTCCTTTAATGAATGAGCACAACTGTCAGCAAGCCCAAATGTGATGGTGTTTAGCAATCAGGCACAGCTGAAGTCGTGATGATGGTAATTATTTCATGTAGAAG